CATAAGGGAATGTAGTGAGAGGAGGGGAGGCTCTAATGAGACCCTGCAATCACTTAACAGAGACCAGGTGCTCTCTGTCTTCCTGCAGCAGTGCACTCCAGACAATAGAATGCCACTTTCAATTTGCAAGAGCCACGAGCAAAGGAGGTCTGGAAAAGGTCTATGTTTTGTATGCAAAATGTTTATTGAATAACAATGTTATTGCTTTGACACAAATAAAATAGAACACATTTCCAAATATATAATATATAATATATATATATATATATATATATATTATATATAAAACACATATCCTATTACCACAGTTTGCAAAAGAATAATGACAAATAGCTACAATGCCCATATATATTTCTTCCTGTACAAAAATAGTTCAATCTGCACAAGTACTTTAATGTAACCTCTATATAATATTTAAATAAAGGAATTCATATATACACATACCTGCAATAAAAACAAATATAGATTGCACATGTTTTTGTACAAACAATTTCAAGTATATTTCAATCCGTTGTGGACTGCCACATATCTTACAGAATCTAAGACATTTCCCTTATACAGTGTCCAAAACTTTATATAAACTGAGAGTTTCAGAGCTCTCTAGCAGTTTGGCATTGTGATGAAGATGTATTTTCCTGATGATTCATTTGACTTTAAGTCCAAATGGAAAAGTGCAGACAAGTACTGACAGTTTGGAACATGGTGGTATAATCCTTAGAGGATAGCACTTATCAAAGTCCTGGCCTTGAGGAAGAAATGTGTAAAGTCCAAGAATGACAGAACAGAGTTCCCTCTTTAAGCCAGAGGATGTGTCCACTTTGCCAGGTATTAGCACTCTTCCTTTCCCTCTGCCAAGCAAAGAGCAGCACCTGTAGTTCGCTTCATGCTGTGCCATCCAGTGTCTGTACGCCAGCTGCAGTTGTTTGCACGCTCTACATCACTGAGCTGCAAGGCTCAGCCTTGAGAGAAACTCAGTGCAGCCAGTCTTGCTCTGACTCAGTTCTCATGCCTTGAAAAATGTGCTGGGAAAGACTTGGCAGAAGTCTAAGGCATTTCGAGAATTTTAGAACAGAGAGAGGACACTAACTCCCTCGCTTTTTGTTCCCAACTCCTCTTGCTAATTTCCCGCTCATGTCCGTCTGAGGAGAGCCTCAAGCTTGTGAACTTGGGAATCATTTATGCTCCACGCTGGCCTCAGCCTGCCTTGCTCTAGCCTCAGTGTGACTCTGTGCGCCGGGAGAGATCGACGCCTCCGGCCGTATCCCTGTGGGCTGATCTTGTCGACAGGGGCACTCCCGATCTTCAACTTGTTACCGAGCTGGTGCAGGCGGTGCGCGAGGTCATGCACTGCACAGGTGCCCAGCGAACAACCTTGTCTTCTTGACTGATTGCCTGAGTGTTTAGACCTCTTGGTTCGGACATTGATGTCAGTGCTGGAGGACAGAGGGAGAAGGAGAGAATATTAATCCATGCTGTTCAGTCCTGAGTTGTCAATGGCTGAGTATTCTCTGCTTAAATTGAGTCTTCCTTTTCTATGACAAAAAATATATATGATGGCCAAATGGAGACAGTTTGCAGACTTTCAAGATAGCATGGTGAATGTCTTACCTGGAATGTGGCAGCAAAGTATCCCTGATATCTTCTGGTCTGACAAAGTTCTCAGACTCTGCTGTCTTCTCTACTGATACACTGTCAAGATCCCGTCTCAATCTGCTCCCGAGCCATATGCTTCGCCTGGGAGAGGGAAACAAAACTCTTAGTTAGTCTTAGGAAGATAATTCAGCAGACAGCTGTCACAGACTTGGCAGACTGTCACATCTTATATCAAATGAAAACATTTTGATTGTTGAATGGATTACTCCTCAGTTAACGCACCTTTTTTTCAACTCCGGATTCACTTGAAGCTCCACACAGTGTGCTACTGTCGCCAGCAGACAGCACGAGAGAAAGGACTGGAAGATCAATTGCATTTTGACTCCTGTGGAGAGTAGAGAAAACATGTTAGTTATTTATTTATGCCATGAATTGATATTTAACTTCATGGATTTCCTCTTGTCCCTCAGTGCATGTAAAACTCCCTCATACAGTATTCCTATATGTGCCACACTGGTACTTGCTTACACAAGAGTCCAAAAGCCAAGTTATTTGTACTTATCATTCATTTATTTAAAAAGTTAAGCTAAGGTCAGATTTTGCTCAGTTAAGTAAACCTACAACCATGCTTTGGGCCCCTGGCCAATAACGCTAAGGACTATTGACCAATGCGGGGTCCTAAATAGACTCAGCTCATAAGTAAAAAAAAAAAACCTCAGTTATCTGATAACTGAAAAACATAGCAAAATCGATTGCAACTAATAATATACTGTATGATGTACTGCCTCTGTCAGATGCTTTACACCTTGAGCAATTCCTTCACAGACACACACATTGAGAGCTGAACTGCTTATATAACCGGGCAGATAACCTGTCCTTGTCCCTACACTTGTGCCCTGACCTCAAAAAAGCAAGGTTTGAGCCATCAGCTGGTAGCAGAGCAAACCACAG